CTATACACAGAATATTTGGGCTCATTTCTCTGCTTCTTCAAAAATAGGTAAGAAATACTCGGTTGGGTTAAGGCGGCCTAGGCTGATATTCATGTTCGAGTTCGGGCGTGTGTCTGCACGATTGCCACAAACATGTTTCGAACCAGAATCATGTTCGATATGACGTCATTCGAATAGAACGCGTGTTCGAATTCGGGGTTACCGGCGGTCATTTGTATGTTTCCCCTGTAAACCCGCGTTGTTACGCATTTCATTCACGGAATATGACTTAAACGGCTTTACGCGCAGCTGAAAACAGCATAATTGATCTTTAGAGTAATCCATGTCTACGTATTATCACTTTTTAATCAAAATTGTCCGAGGCTATTTTGCATATAAGTCGATATTTTTTAACTGTGGCGATTTTTTAACGAAAAATGACAGAAAAATAGCTGTTTCTGTCGTTTTTGGCCCAAAAAAACAATGTAACTTTCATTCAAAACAAAATAGCCTCGGACAAAAATAATAAATAGGGGGTTGGCTTTCTACTTGTAAAATATCATGATGAAAGGTGTTGTTACCGCTTGCGCGTAAAGCCATGAAGTAAAAAGCTTTTTTTTAACCAAAATGTTGATTTTTAACCCAAAAATCCAGAAGTAGTAAAAACAAAATAACATTTATTCAATGTGTTTCAAGTACTACTAGAACTGTGTGAAGTTTAGTTGTGGTGCGACCAAGCTATCAAAAGTTACAGGCATATGTATGAAATACTACTCATAGTATGCCATAGGCTGCCTTAACCCAACCGAGTAGATAAATTCACATCCTGAGCTTATTCTATTTCCTCTGTTCATCTGTCCTGTAGGCTCCACGAGCGTCAGAAACGCCACGACAGGATACAACTACTGCAGGGGACAGCACTTCCCGAATCGGTTACCACAGCCAGGCAGCCTTTGATGACATCCCTCACACATGGACACGACCTGTTGGTTTTCAATGAACCAGAGAACATGGAGGGTCAGCATGAGAAGCGACCAAGACAGTCTTGCCGCTCCCCTGATGAGGTATCATTTTCTGTTGGACTGCCAAATTACAACATTGCTCTACCCACTGCTCCTTTTGCATCACCTCTGATTCCCTTTAGCACACCACCAGCACTGTATCCACCACTGTGGTCTCAGAGTAAGTCCTCAGCTGCTTACAAAAGAGAGTGGCGTAGTCGCAAGGCAGCAATAGATGACTTGGAACGATTGCAGAGAGAACCTCCTGCCAAAAGAAAGCGAAAGGGATTCAGATACATCTGCTCTCTGTGCTGAAACTGGACATTCACAAGTCAAAGGTCACTGGTACTGTCCATCGATGGGGAAACCAAAGAGCAATGGAGGGACTCTTTAAATAAATGAGTTTGCATAATAACCTAAAATTTCAAAGGAGGGGGGGGGGCTGCTTTAGCAGAGATTTTTATTAGCATAATGTCTGGCTGGAGGATTCATAATTTGAGATAGCAATTTACAATTGTAGGGAAATTTACTACTTGAACTTAATGTTATCAAATGATGGGTCACTGATTTTATATAACTTTGGGGTTGGGGGGAGGATACAAATGAAAAGACTTCAAATGTTTCTTGTTGTGTACTTGAAACATTCTGTACTTGCACAGTGGGGGTTTATTGGTGCTACCAACTGACCATGCTGGGGTCTTAACCTTTTAGCCAGTTGGTTTGACCATCGGCATGAGGACTGGTGCCCAGGTTTGGACGTGGGTTTGAGCTGACAAGCATAGTCTGTCAACAAAAGTACTTATCAAGCATTGTCTCACATCACTATGAAGTGATTGTAAAGAGACTGCACTTACTACAGTACGCAGGAGTACTGGTTGTATGCGGTAGTTGTACAGGTAGTATATAACAAGTTGCTAGAACTTGAAATAAATGTACTGTTACGTTGTGAATTTTGGTTGTGTAGTGTTGAGAATTATGGTTGTGTATTACACTTCTGAAAAAAAAACCCTTTTAACTTTGTCAAAAACTGTTTTCCACTGCTGGTATGCAACAAGTTGTTAAAACCATAATTCTCTGCATTGTTTCGAGTTCTTTGTAGTACACTTTTGCTGAGAGACCTTGGTCAAAAATGGTGTACTGGATGTATATAAAAAAATTTTTAGAACTAAAAATATTGTACTGTTTAGTTTCAGTTTCAGTTTATTTATTTAACCAGAAGATACACTCAGGTCATTTGACCTGTTTTTCAGGTAGATCTGGGTACAATAAAAATGCAGAAACAATACAATGATAACAACACAGTTAGTTGAGACTTATGGTTGTGTACGTAGTACACTTTGGCTGAGAAAACCTTTGAACTTGACCTTGGTCAAAACTGGTTTATACTGGTACTTTATAACAAGTTGTTAGAACTCAAAATAATGTACTGTAAAGTTGAGAATTATGGTTGTGTACTGTCCACGAGATAGGTGATGAGTTTGCATAATAAATAAATTTGAAGGGGGGCCTTCTTTAGCAGAGATTTTCATTTGCATGTAAATGTCAAATTTGGCTGGAGGATTCAAAATGTCTGATAAGTCACTGATTTTAATATAATTTTGGGGTTGGGGGAGGATACAAATTTTGTAAAGATGGTTTAAAAGTTTGTTGTGTACTTGAACATTTTCAAGAAAAGTTTGTGCACTTGAAACCTTTTGTAGTATGAACATTTTGTCTTGTGTAGTACACTACTATATAAAGAAAACATTTGAACTTGGTCACAAAAGTGTTTTGTTCTGCTAGTATACAAGTTGTTAAAACTAGAAATAATGTTCTGTAAAGTTGATTGTATTTCCCCCTAGGCCCTAAAAGGGGTTTGGGTTGGCATCCAGCTGTAAAAATCTTCAAGAATTCTCCACATTATTTCTAGTTCTGTGTAACACACTTTTGCAGAGAAAATCTTTCACCTTGGTCTATATAACAAGTTGTTAACTGTAATAAGGTACTGTTAAAAGTTGTTTAAGTTTGTTGAATTATGGTTCCCTGACCAGAAAGTGAGAATAGCGGTATTTATTCTGAATACAAGTAACTGTTGAGACTGAATTATGGTCTTGCCATCTCTGCTTCATTTCAGTTAACTGTACCTTAAGCCTCCTCCTCGTGTAGATATATGAGGCCGGCTACACAACAAAGAATGGCGTTCTACACGCAATACTGCCTTGACCACTGAGGACCCAGCTGTCTTGCTAACACTGTTGTGTCCATGTCATGCTGTATATACACGTTAGATGGGAGCTTGTCGGGGCCTGTTGCTGTCGATTACATGTCAAACAAGAAAGCTTTTGAAAACAGCTGGCCGGAGGCCAAAATAGGAATAGCTCCTTGGGTGGCATTGTCTCAAAGAAGTGGTCAGCATGCTGACTTGAATTGTAGCAATGCTAAAAAGTGCGAATTTAGATGCAATCTGCTTATAACATTACTTGTGCCAATGATATTTAGATATATATATATATATATATATGGCTGCGACAGAAAGACGAAATTCGAATGAAGATTATTGTGAAAATTGTACTGCATGATGGAAAACAAATTCAATAAACTAGGTTTTTGAACATTGTACGTAATTTTCTTAAGGTAAATCCCCTTGAGATGTAATATGATGATGTCAAAGAATAATTTCCAAGAATAATTGGAAAGGAAGACATAAATAAAAGCTGGTTACATACACCTGTTTCACAGCCCTGTCATAGCGCGTTTCCAGGGGATATACCTTCCATACACCTCCATACCTCATATAAGAGGTGTGTAAGAAGGCACAAGTGATGTTGAGTTTGAGGTAATCAGATCTGTTACTTTGCAAGACATTAGTAATGTTCCTGCCGGAGAGGTTGTGAATGTTAACGTTAACGTGGATTCATTAGACAAAAGGGAGTCTTGCTCAAATCTAAAGATATGGTAGAAAAATGTACACTGTACACAGCCAAGCTCATCTTCTGGCTGCAGCCAGGTAGGGTCACCTTTTGCTTATGTTTTAATATGCAAACACTAAATTGTATGTCTGTATAGATGGACTTTTAAATAAACATTATTAAAGAATGCCATGGGGCATGCTGGGGGCGCGGCGCCAACATACTGCACATTTGATTTTGAAAAGAATTGGTTATATCAAATGAAATAACCAATTTTATGTTCAGAGTGTCTAACACCATTATCTCAGGGCGTGAAAACATACAATGTAGTAATAAAATGTTGTTATGTTATCTAAAGGTTAACGGAACCGCATCCTGCTTTCTCCAAAGATTGCAGAGTTTGAGAAAGAGAAGGAATTGGATGTGAGTACTTCATCTTTTTGTCCATGTATATTTAAAATAAGAATCCTGAATAATACAAAGGCCGTCGGGACCTACCCACCCAAGCCCCTCCAGGAAGGCTAGTGGGTGGCTGTGGCCTACAAGGAGGGGCACTTTGTGAGGATTGTAAAGGCCTTCGAGGGTGAGGCCAAGATCAAGTTTTTCGACTACCGTGGTGGTGGGCAGTACGCCCCCACCCAGAAGGCCTCCAAACTTGTTGACCCCAAGTACGTCTATCTGGTTGATTTTCCAACACGGAAACTCATGGGGGAAAAGATTCAGGTCGATACACAGCGGTCAAATTGAGCTGATTTTTGCCCATTTCAAAAACATACATATTGATGAGAAACCGACGTCAATCAGACTCGTTTCCATTGACAACAATCGTTGATTGGTTCTTTTCGAGTGGGAGGGTACGTGTGAACTGTTTTGCTCCCACTAGAGTCCCAGTTTTTCTTGGCGGGAATTTTCGATTGAAATGGCCGCTTTCCCCAGGCCCCATTGTCTTTCAGTTCTTTTGATATGCGTACTTCGCTCCACCTATAATTGTCTTCAACTTCACACCTTGAAAATCATCGGCGTGTGTTGCTTTTGCAAGCCATTTACCGTATTCAGGCTACGACGCCGGGTGGACTGCACCGTTTTATTTCCCTTCCGCGATCGCGTATTTCAGTTTCTTATCTCTTCTAAAATGCCCAAAGACAAAGGGAAAACGGTCCCGTCGGCGCCAGGACTAAAGGACGTCGTCATTCCCGGTCCAGATCGTCCCTTGATCCCGAGAACTAGGGGGTACCAGACAGCCAGGGATCCCGGGCACACCGGCCGTTTCTGGCGGCCTACCTCCACGGCGGTCAAACTGTACTTCACGCCGCTGTTTCGCCGCTGGCTTCGGGACGGACTTCCCCCGTCCTACAAGCCAAACTATGGCATGGAAGGGATGGACACGAAAGTAAGAAACTTACTATGTTTACATGAGTTGTAAACTTGATGGAGTTTTCGAACCGCACCATAAGCAAAGCGTGGAAGCCACTCCATTGTCTATAATAGGGGAGGGGGATGTAAATCTGAGTCATTTTCAACTTTGTTTGAATTCAATTTCAACTAAATTCATCTTGTTCATGAAGAACTTGATTCACTACACATTGTAAGACCGTAATATACTGTAATCTTTAACTTTCTAACTGTACCTATATAGTTTGTGTCGAAAATCCGATAAAGTTACCCCCACGTACGAAGTAGTTCGATCCATTTTTTAAATGGCGTCGGTCATTTTCCTTTGTGGATCGAATGCGCGACTAACGACGTCTTTGTTTTGTTTTTTAGATCGAAGACTTGGTGGGAAACGCACTGCAGGTGAACGGCCCGCTGGTGGACTTTCACCTCTCCAAACTCGGCGGGGATGTGGCGTCACGACTCCGACGCAACTACGGCACGGGTCTCGCGGAGTTCGAGGACACAATCCCCCCGACCACCTTCTCGTACCTGATGCTGCTCATGAAGAAGTACGGCGCCCAGGTCAGCGTGAAGAACCCGGGGAAGAGCGGCATGTACGGGCGCGTGGACGTGAAGGTGACAGACATCCGTGTCCTGAGGAACATTCTCCATGGGGCCAGGACAGATGGACGCAACTACCTGGTCAAGCTGCACTATGACCGGGAGCGGACCCCCAGTGATGTGGGTATTCTTATACTTAAATACAGTTGTAATTATACTAGTAGCTACATAGGTATTTGAACACAATCAAAACTAAAGCTGCTGTTGTTGGTGTACTTTGTTAATGAGTGAACAGTGGAAATGTTTGATGTACGATGGGAAGATTGTTCCAATCTGTTCAAACCAGAGAAAGATCATATTTCATTAAAAACTCAAATAAACTCAAACTCATTACTAATACATGTATTCCTATCCTACCTCTTATTGGACAGTATTATAGCTCCATGATACTATACCATGTTGCTAAAACTTAATTTGTCAAGTTGCAATGTATGGACCAAAATGAAACTATCGTTATTCATAGCAAAAATGTAATACTTGTATTGATTTAGTTTTGTGTATGAACTGAACCGAAATTATCGTTATTCATTGCAAAATTGTCATGTTATTTGAATTTTGCCTATGTTGCCCACAGGAGACTGTCAGCCACTACAGGGGGAAAAGTGTGGTCATCGCGAATGAGACCAGGCCATTTGAGATGAACTACAACAGCAGGAAGGGGCAGATCAAGGTCCAGTTTTACAGACAGACGTATGACAGGAACGGTCTGGCACAGAACACAATGCCCGGAATGTAAAGTGCGATTTAGATTTTTCCAGTCTGTAAATATACCATGATTGCGATTTAGATTTTTCAACTCTGTAAATATACCATGAAACACACTAGCATCTGTTCATCTGTTCTTTTATCTTTACTTTAACCGAAAAGCGAGCACAAGTTTAATTTATGTAATGATAGCTACTAGTCTTATCTTGATTTTTCAACTCTGTAAATATACCATGAAACATACTAGCATCTGTTCTTTATCTTAACCGAGAAGCGAGCACAAGTTAAATTTATGTAATGATAGCTACTAGTCTTATCTTGTATCCATTAACTGTATCTGACCATGTTTTGTTGTCACATGTACAATAATGGTTGTCCCTCATTCATTCAATAAAGATGTGGAAGAATCAATACAGCATTAAATCATGTTTCTGCTTTATTTTCTACTAGTAATAAGCAGTGAACAGTAGTAAATTCGTACACAAAGTGGATTTCATAACTAACAATCAGTAATAATAAGACTATTATAATACAAGTAGACTATTATAATACAAGTAGACTATTATAATACAAGTACTATAGTCTATAAATGTAGGCAGAATGCAACTATAACTATATACAGATGCTGGCAAATGAGTGAAAAAAATGTATAACCACTGAACATTATACTGACAAACCTCTATACAAAGTGGATAATGTAATAGGCAGACATAAACAGACTATTACCATAGTATTAGAATACACTTAAAGATGTTGGCATACTAGTATTGAATATGGAGGAGATAATCAAGCAGTATAAGAGGTATGTCGCGGCATATGGGTTGTAAGTTCATGGACCCTGCAGGATACTCATCCTATGGTGAACCCAGGAAGTCAATATTACACTTGATCGTATCTCAGTAACTTTAATTAGTGATCAACAGTCGGTGTGAGGTTGTAAACAGCGAACACGTCACAAAAGTGTTACCCTACATATCTACTGGCCACAGGCTGAACACACAAGAAAAGTGTTACTCAAGAAACTTGATAGATTAAAAAAAAACGATTTATACTTTTAAAATCTATCCAGTTGCCTGAGTAACAAGTTTTCTTGTGTATCCCATTGCCTAGATGTCTAACATTCATGGACGTAAGGCGGAATAACTGTTAAATTGCTTTCAAAAGTACATTCCCATCTCGTCGTGTTTTTATTTCTCGCAGAGGATGGCTGTAATTTACCCCGCGTGTGCTTCCACGAACTCTCTCAGCACACTGGTCTCACACTGCAAACAATGCACAGCAACCGTCATTTTCTGTACATTGGACTATTGACCTGATATTTGCTCCTTCTTCCTTTAGTAAAATGGATTGCAAGTTAACACAAGGAAAAGAGACCGGTACATGAGGTTTGTTACCACACCCAGTACTGGTGGGTGGTTATGTTCATGGTCGGAAGGTTTGTCCTTCTTGTGAGATTGTTGCTCTAAGTCTTAAATTGTCTTGTAGTACATTCCCATGTCGTCTTGGTTTTATTTCTGCGCGCTTGGGCTCATTCTCCTTCGTTCTCCATATTTCCTCCTTCTTTTTCTTCCTTTAGTAAATTGATCATATTTTATTTGGCTCTTGCTAATTCCATGGGCATGTCTTAAAAAGTGTTGTTTTTTTCCAGTGAAAAGCAGCAGAGACTGAAAGCAATCATCTCTAGTCTGAACACCAAAAATTTCAACCCAACAGACCACAAAACCTATGTTGTCCGTAGGGACAATGTGTGGCGGGCACTGAAAGACAAATTGACAAATAAAAACTTTGATGCCTCTAAAATGGTCAAAGTTAAATTCATTGGCGAGGAAGACACATTAGACTTTGGCGGGCCCAAAAACGAAATGTTCCGGATGGCCCTAAAGGGCATCTTTGAAACACGTGGGCTTTTTGAGCATAGCCCACGTGGCTACTTGCCAATCAGTTCCCCCATTGCTATTGTAAATGGGGACTTCGAGACAGCAGGTAAAGCAATGGCCATGTCAGTCGTACATCTGGGGCCGACACCCAGCTGTCTTCACCCTGCCATTGTGTCAGCATTGTGTGGGGAGAATCTTCCAGACATGTCTGGATTTCAGCCTGTAGACCAGGAAGCAGCAGCCTTTGTGGCAAAGGTAACATATACTTTTGTGTGCGTGTGTCTGTGTGTTGTGTGTGTCTGTGTGTTGTGTGTGTCTTTGCGTGTCTGTGTGTTGTGTGTCTTTGCGTGTCTGTGTGTTGTGTCTTTGCGTGTCTGTGTGTTGTGTGTGTCTTTGCGTGTCTGTGTGTTGTGTGTGTCTTTGCGTGTGTCTGTGTGTTGTGTGTGTCTTTGCGTGCGTGTGTCTGTGTGTTGTGTGTGTGTATGTTTGTGTGTGAGTCAACAGACACCGAAACGTCAGCAAGGTGAGAATTTACCGGCTGTGTAAAAAGAAATACCTGTCTCCTAAGTTCTGCCAACCTGATGAAATTATTTCGGAAAACATTATAAGGATGTACGACCGTGTGATATGGATGATTACATGATGACTCCACCAGCGATGGATGAATTGCTAAAGAATGCCCCCCCCCCCTCATTTGCCACCCTGCTGAACAAGCCATTACCAGAATATTTAAAACATTTCCTTGCCATACTGGCCCAAAATCCCCTATCTGTGGGGTGCATCCCTCTGCGAAATTACATGAGTTTATAAATAATATCAGCAATGGAGTAGGAGTTTCAGACTATATGAAGAACATGATATACCTTCAGCACCAAATCCCTGCCTTGTTTGAAGTTATAAAACACACAGATGGCTGCTGTGTGCCAGAAGACCTACGGCCACTATTGCAAGACCTGCTTGTTGTGAGAGAGAGCCCGTTCACAAGTAAACAGCCAGTGTCCAACCACCTTTCTTCAGAAGCAGGTGGAATGGAAGACTTATAATTCCCGTGTTCGGGACAGAGGGAAGTACCTGGCAGATGGAAAGAGGGGTGCAAGTGTGAAAGTCTGCAAGAAGTCGTCTGGTGGCCACCCCGAGTCCCTCCTTCCAGGACTGTTCCTGCTTCATTGTGTACATGGTAGAATGTGCTTTTTATTTTGTTACCATCTGTTTTTTTATCTATTATACTATTTTGATGTTTATGCAGACATGTATTTTCTTTTTAATCTCATTGTATTGCATGACTAAGAATTATCAAAGTTACATGTATATTGATGGTCTAATATTTTAGATATCTTAGATATATGTAACCTTATGTAACCCCCAGGAGCGGCACCACATGCCCGGCGGCCAGTTACAGCATCCTCGGTTGTAATACCTTTAGGTTTGTAGTTTGTTTTTAAGTATTCAACTACCGTCCGTCCTGGACGGTTGCGTAATGTTAACGTGATACAATATCGTAACGAAACGTTTTTAAGTATTCAACCACCAACTAGATGCATGGTTTAAATATCAGTATAAGGCTCCCAGAAGAGCTTTAATTCATGAATAGCAACATTCTTATTGATTGAGCATCTGTCTCCATTAGCACTTTCATAAACAGGAATATTGTTTTTATGAATGATATTTTAAATGGGGTAGGCACTATGATGACATTTGAAGAATTTTCAATAAAATATGGCACTATTTGTAATTGTTTTGGATATATGCAGTTGATTTCTGCCATTCCCCAAAAATGGAAATCCATTTTATACTGGACTCAAGGTCTGGTAACTTTCCAGAAACATAAATTAAAGCATATATATATTTCTATTTCTTTTAACAGTCTTAGCCCAGGCACACAACACAAACGTGAGAGAGTACAAAGATGACACAAGAAAGATCGTGAAGTTCATCTCTGCTCCAGGTCAGCTCGTCCACTGTCCATTCAACCCCGCACACGTTGTCAAATGCTGCAAGTTGGAGGACCACTTCAGAAAATGCAGCAAGGTTAGTGGGACTATCGACGAGACCGCCTTGACAGACTGGAGAGACTAGGCCAGCAGGAGCAGAATTCTGGGTGTAAGGATGCTGTGCCCACTGCAACCCTACAATTTATCCTCATTTATATTAATGATATGGTTGGTGACCTGTCAACCCAACCTTTTCTTTTTGCGGACGATAGTTCGCTAATTGATGTTGTTTGACAACCACATTGTCACATCTTTGAGGCTTAATTCTGATCTCTATAAAATTTTATCATGGGCAAACAAATGGTTAATGGAGCTTAATCAATCTAAATCTAAAGAACTTTGCTTTTGAAGAAAACGTACACGTTCTATTCACCCACCTCTTTTCCTTGGGAATCCTTGTATTTAATCCGTAAAACAGCATAAGCATATTGGGGTTACTTTAGCCTCCACCATGTCATGGACCATTCATGTTACTCAGATTATTGCAAAGGTTTGTACAAGGACTGTTTCAGGCGGATCCGTGACTGGCTGTCGGACGCCCCCCTCCCCAAAACTTACGTTGGCCTCGCAAATTGTAAGATACTTTCACTGCGACGTCTTTATTAACCCCGTTTTGCCATGCAGGGTACGAGACAAATTCATGTTTTCGTTATGCTACACTTGTGCCGTAAATCAGCAGCAGATATATAAATATAGGGCTGTAGAAAAGTGGTTGAAGAAAGTAATTAAATAACTTTCTTTTAATCCTGCAGTGCCCGACTGAACGCCGGAATTCGGGCCAGGGCCGGGACCAAAATCAGGCTCGAACTGAACTGGTACCACGCTTCAGGAGTAGATTTCTGGGTATCTGTCTACATGAAGAAAGTAGGTCCGCCTTTATTGTACATTCAGAAAAAAGGAAATATTTTGGCCAAGAACCAGAGATGTCCGAGCGAATATGAGCGGCGAGCCGGCGCCAGACAACAGAAGTTGGGGCGGAGTTAGCCCGGTAGTGTTAATTAATAAAAATGACAACTATTGACACAACAAAAGTACAGCGACTTTCGCAATGTAGGGAGACATACGTACCTAACAAATTTATGCCATACTTGCCATATATTTATAAAAGCATAGGGCACAGACTTGACTATGATAGATTGTTGAACTACGCCAAGAAGCAACTTTGATCTGTTAAGGCTAGAGTTGCATGAGTTAGGAAACGTATGTCAGAGAATTCTTACACTGATGATAATATTGATAACATTTGGGAAAGGTGGGCTTTTGGACTGACGGAAGCCGTTGATCATTGTGTAC